ATCTTTTCCTTGACTTTTCATAACACCTTACATCACAAACCACACCTCTGTTTGGGTCCATCGACCAATCAGAAGCTCTCAAATGAACCGGAAGTAGAGCCCATTTAAATGTTGGCACTTCCTAGTTCAACGAGAAGAGTTCGGCTCGAGGTTCAGTCTTGAATCGTGCCAGCCTGGAAGATGGAGTAGCAGTTCAGAGAGTTTTGGAGTTCCAGAGTTCATGACGGCTGGAATGTAGCATGTTCAATACAGCTGCCACTAAGCTGAACCAGAGACGATGTGGGAATTATGAACTTCTGTTTGGATAACCTCACGACTCCAGAGGTTCTTAGCTGTTCTCACGGAGACGCTGAAAGAGTTGAAAGGAGAACTCTACACCATGCTGAAACTATCATCTGCAAAGGTAAAAGTCGATCTTCAACTAAGCGTACCGTTGGCCCAAGCTGATTTACAAAGGAGCGTGCATGTTCTGGTTAAAACAGACAAATTCCCTCACACATCTCTCCCAAAACAAACTTCATCTTTCCATCTTTAAACTCTCCTATCCTGCTAGCAAATTAATCCAGATATTTTTAGAAACATCTGAAGCAAAGTTTTCAATCACCGCCGTGTGATTTGACGTCTGCTGTGATTAATAACGTTTGTCGTTCTGCTGGAAGTGAAAACAACCGCCGTGTTGTTTACCACTCCTGTAAAACTGATTAATTATGTCGTTATTTTCAATTATAGCCAATTAATGTAAATGTGTGATGTGTTAAACTTGATTCTGTTAATAAATGACCGCATTCATTTTGATGGGTCAAAGATAATTAACGTCTCACGTCCACATTTTATTAAATTCAATGCACACATGTTATACAGTCTAGAAAAATGAAAGAACCCGTTTAATTGATGAATATATCTCAGGATATGTCATACTACAGGCATTATGTTTATAAAATAAACGTCTCAGTTTCTCTGATACTCCCTCAACATACGGAATGACCACTGGTCTGGGTTCCTCCTTTTCACCTTATGGCTGACTGGAGTCCTGTTTGGGTTTTCTTATCTGCTTTCAGGAAGGCCCAGTTAGGATATCCACATTGCTCTAGAGCCTGTCTTGTGTGGGATTTCTCCTTCTGCCTGGCTCCTGAGTTAGTGGGGATGCTGTCTGCTCTGTGATACAGAGTCCTGATGACTCCTAACTTGTGCTCCAATGGGTGATGGGAGTCAAACTGCAAATACTGGTCTGTGTGGGTGGGTTTGAGGTAAACCTCAGTTTGCAAATGTCCTCTATCAGAGACTGAGACCTCACAGTCCAAGAAAGCCAGCCTGCCATTTTTGCATCTTCTCGTGTGAACTTGATGTATTTATCCACAGATTTGATGTGGTCAGTAAAATGTTGGACTTCGTGAGATTTAATTTTAACCCAGGTGTTGTCAACATACCTGAACCAATGACTTGGTGGTGTTCCTGAAAAGGACGTCAAGACTCTCTTTTCTACCTCCTCCATGTACAGGTTGGCAACAATAGGAGAAACTGGAGACCCCATAGCACATCCATGTTTCTGCCTATAACATTGCTCCCCATATGTGAAGGAGGTTGACTACAGGCACAGTTTCGATAGTTGACGCAGTTGTTCTGTGGAAAGCGTGGTCCTGCTGCTCAGAGTGGTGTCTGATATTAATTTTAAACTGACCACCTCTACTGCATCATCAACAGGAATGCACGTAAAGAGTGATGTGACATCAAAAGAGACCATTGTTTCATCAGTCTCCATGATGACATCCCTCACCTTATCCACAAAGTCCATGCAGGTCCACGACTGTGGAATGAGTTGCCACTAAGTGTCCGGCAGGCTCCCACACTCTCAGTCTGTAAGTCTCGCTTGAAGACCCACTTCTATTCTCTTGCCTTTAATACGGTGTGATTTGTTTGGTCCTGTCTGTACTCTACACTGTTGGCCATTTTAGTTAGCTTCTGCTGCTATTTGTATCTGTATTTTTATTTTATGTTTTCCTGTCCGCTGTGCATGTTTGTTTTCTTTTGTACAGCACTTTGGTTGGCCTTGTTGCTGTTTTAAGTGCTCTATAAATAAATTGGTATGGTATGGTATGCTGTTCTGTATGTGGTGTTCTGAGCTGCCAACTAAAGTCTACACTCATCTCCAGGCCAGCGGTCACTCTTTCAGGGATGAAGATGTTCACATCCTGGACAGAGAGGAACAATGGTTTGAGAGAGGAGTAAAGGATGCCATCTTTGTGAAAATAAATTGTCCATCATTAAACAGGGGTGGAGGCCTCCGGGTTCAACTGTCCCCCTCTTACAATGCTGTTATTGCTAGTATCACTCAACCCCCTGTGAATAGTAAACAGCCATCAGTGTGCTAATGATCCATTGTTAGGCTGATGGTCCTTCTTGACCATGTGAGCAGCTGGTTGTTGTTGTCAGCAGCAAACTTTTTGAGCCACTCTGAGAAGGTGCTATTTAATAGACTGAGCTGAATACAGCATCTCAAACTGAGGAAGTCTTTCAGAAGAAAGCCGAAACATATCTAGATTTTTTTGCTTTGTTTTGTTTTTTGTTTTTTTGAATGTCCAGAGAACCGGATTTAACTTTTTTAGAGTCATCTGGACAGTTTCTTTTTTTGTTCTGAAACATTTCGCCTTCGGTCCTGAAGGCTTCATCAGTCAAGGAAACACAAAGCAAAACTGATTCTTCCCCCAACAGCTTACTCCAAAGTGGAACAAACCAGTTTGACAAGACTGTCAACAAGGAAGAGGGCCAGCAATGGAGGAGGGTGTGTACCAAAGAGACCATCTTATCACAAGCAGAACTGGTTTGTTCCACTTTGGAGTAAGCTGTTGGGGAAGAATCAGTTTTGTTTTGTGTTTCCTTGACTGATGAAGCATTCCGGACCAAAGGCGAAACGTTTCAGCACAAAAAAAGAAACTGTCCAGATGACCTGACTGAAAAATGTTGGATTGTATACCTGGATTATTGAGCATGGACTTTGGTGTATAAGAAAAATGCTAAGCAATACCAATAAATTCAGTCTGCTCAACCAAGTTGCAGTTATGAGCACGAAAAACATACAAGCATGGGTCCTCAGTCATGTCAATTAGCTTAATCAATCTATTCATCTTTGTGCTTTTACTGCTGTCACAAATATTTATAGCACTTGTTTTGACTTTCCTAACATACAGGTATAAACAAACAGGACCAGTCAGATGTTGGGATCCACCTACCTGTGCTTTAGGAGTTAAAAGGTGTGTCTGAGGTTTCTAAGTAATGTTGTCAACACAAAAGCACAACTTGATTGCTAACATTTCTGAAGTAAGTGCCTTAGGATGTCATTTATAATGGGCTTGTTTTGGACACCTACCCCTGCCCTGAGCACTAAAAGACGTCCTTTTTACTAAGAAGATAGATTTCGAAGACCACTTAAACTAGCGTGACATTACGTAATTTTCCTGAACCTGTATTCATCCAACAAAACTGTGTTCATTCCGTGTTAAAGGATCAAATGTGGTTTAACAACTATCAAATCCAGTTTACACCTGCTTGGAAAATGTCATTTGGAGGTGTAAAGTTGGAAATAAAACTTCTCTCTGCAAAAGATCCAAACCAAGACAAACATGAATAAAACAGAATCTGGTGGTCTTGGCAAATTCACTAGATTTGGACTGATTGCTAAAAAGGCAATTTATAAAGATAGATTGAAGAAAAAAGTGTCAGAAAGAAAGAAGCATGTTAGAAACTATCTGTGTTTATGTGGTTATTTTTAGTAATGTGACAAAAACTTGGCTTTTCTGTAAAACCTTACCTTCAGCAGTTCCTCTTGGCTCCTCAAGGAAAAAGGTGACATCTTTCTTTTCTTCTGAATCATTGATGTGATCATACGTGATTTGAGGAATTGATACTGCTCTCTCTGAGGCCACACCAGTCGAACCAATTCCTTTGGACTTCAACCTTCTCTTGGTTCCCTTTTTCTGATAAACAGACAAAACATTAAACCATTAATAAAGAAAAAAACAACAACCATTTATTGTGGAAAATAATTAATAGATTTTCCTAAAATAATCTAAAGTAATGTAACTCTCTGCCTGTAGGCACAATACGTAAGATGATGATGTCATGACCAAAGAAGTTTTAAACCTGTTGTTTCTCTCTTGTTAGGGCTGAAGAACTTCTACATCTCTGTAGACACTACACTGATTTGCCTGTAAAGCTCGTTGTACATCGAGTCCTCGCTTGTGAAACACAGCTGGTTCATAAACTCTTTCATGTGAGACAAACCTATTCCTGGTTTTAAGAACATGCAGAGTTGGAAAATATAAATTCTGCTGAAGTTGTTTAACATACAAACTGAAAATCAGTCAACACTGAAATTTAACCAGATGAAACTATGAAATAATAATGCACACTTTTCAAGTTACCAGGTCGTACAATCTTTACTCATATGTTTTTGAGGCTAACAAAGTTCATGCTCAATCATCCAGGTATTAAATCCAATAATTCTCAGTCAGGTCATCTGGACAGTTATTTATTTTTTGTTTTTTTTATATAGAACTACATCTGCTGTAAAAGAGTCCAGGCATGGTCTAAAGAGTTGGGCAGAAATACCACGAGGTTTCAACAACTTGTTTTCAAAATGTATTATTTATTACCATTTTATTTTCACATGTGGAAAAGCAATATTGAACACAACTATACCCAGTATACCCAGTATATCTAACTAGGTTGAGTCAGGTCCTCTGGATGGAATTTTCTTTATTGAAATGTTTCGTTTTTTTATCTTATTCAGACTGAAGAAGTTGGATAAAAGACAAAATGTTTCAACAAGAAGAATCCGTCCAGAGGACCTGACTCAACCTGGTTAGATTTATCTACCTGGACTATTGAGCAGCATCAGGATATGCCCAGTATAGACTCTAGTTTGTTTTATGCTCTAGCTGACAGACATCACTGATGTGGGCAGAGAAGAAAGAGGAGAGTGAAACAAAGTCTGTTATAGTGTGTCAGAACTGAGGAGGACTATTGAACAACAGAGAGATGGCAGGAGGAGAAAAGACAGAGGAGAAAGTCACATGCTGGAACAGAAAAGAGCGGAAACAGCCGTCATTCTCTCAAATACACATGGGTTCAATGCAACACAAAGATTTTTTTGTTGTTGTACTACTAGACAAAAGTTTACTCCCATGAGAAAAGCGGTGGTGACATCATCTCAACTGACTGGCTCTTTGTCTGGTGGAGACAAAGGCCTCGAGTCATCCCGGTGGAGTCAGGCCTTCAGGGTAGGAGGAGCTGTTGTGTGTGTGTGTGTTTGTTTTCTGTGCGTTGGGTCGTTTGCACGTGCATGTGTGTGTGTATATTTGTGGGAACTTGGCTTGCCCTTTAGCTAATATAGCTCTGAAAGGTGAACTGTACATGGAGACCATGCGGGGGGGGGGGGGGGGCACACGTTTGTTAATACAATTTGATGTTGTAGATGTTGTCATGAGGAAAGAATTACCGCTATGTTGAGTTTCCTGATGCTGGGACTGCAGTTGTCTGCTTCTGCAGCAGCCACACCCTCTGCAGTTAAGACATACATTTTCCATGTAGTAGCACAGCCGTTTGGTTTCTCTGCAGCGTAGCATCTCCAAAGTGTCTGAGGAGCACAGGTTTAATATGAAACAGTTCAATAAGCAATAACTGATACTGTAACTGCTGCAAGGCTTAAAACACTTTCAGTAATAAACTATAAGACAGGGCTAAGTAATACTGTATATATCAATGTTTCTTTACAGTTACCAGCCTTCAAAAACTAGTACAATGTATCCAACAGTACAAAATTATTTACAGTGTTTTTGTAGTGTTTTTAAATTTATGATAAACTGCAAAGCTGTGCCCCAATGCTGGGGTGGAGACACCCCAAAGTTATAAAACAAGAAAGGACTATTGAGACAAACTCCAAAAACTGAATTAAATTTAAAAAATACTTGCACATTTTTGCCACGTATGTCTTGATAAAATATAAAACACATATTAAAGATAAATAAATAAAGAAAAATATTTAGATTGTTTGTGCTGGCACTATATTCTTGACTTATTAGCAATGTTTGTACACTTCAATAAATGGACCCGGTAGCAACTGAGAATGTATTAACAGAGCAAAATGTAATAAGTGCTAATAATATAACAATTTGGGAAATTTGAAATGTAATTAGCCAATAACATAATAACACATAAATATGACTACAGTTCTTGGAAATAAAACACTGTTTTGCAGTTTTTATGCAGTTGGCTTTTGACAAACAGGACTAGTAAATGGCATTGCCTTCATATTCATGTGTACAATGCAGAACTTCTTAATTTTGGATGTAAAAATGAAATTGTCAGCTACATGTTGTACACTATTGTTCTATTTAACATGTAAATTCATGATTTAATGCAAAGAGGAATATTTTTCCTTCTTTCAGCTGCTCCCTTCTTCAGGGGTCACCACAGCGCAGTAACTCTCAAAACAACTTGGTGATTGTTTTTACACTGATGTCCTTCCTGACACAACCACAGACCACCGAGCTACCACAATGCTCTGTGTGGAGAAGAGAGCTGCTATCTAGGACACCCAGAGGAGCAAATGGTGGGGGTTAAGGGCCTTGCTCAAGGCCCAGAGTGGGGAAAATGAGGGTGGAGGCAGGTGTGGGTGCTTCACTTTTCCCACCCACATTTTTATGTTGTCGGAACAGGGAGTTGAACCGGCGATCTTCCGATCACAGGCCCACCTAAATGCTTTTAAAGGAATACGTTCGAAATCTGGAACTGTTTTAATTATTTGTCTTTTGTTAGGATATGTGTTTAGGTAGGTTTGTTTATCAGTCTTTGTGTTTTATTATTAGGATAACCCACCCACACAGACCAGTATTTGCAGTTTGACTCCCATCACCCTTTGGAGCACAAGTTAGGAGTCATCAGGACTCTGTACCACAGAGCAGACAGAGTCCCCACTAACTCAGGAGCCACGCAGAAGGAGAAATCCCACACAAGACAGGCTCTAGAGCAATGTGGATATCCTAACTAGGCCTTCCTGAAAGCAGAGAAGAAACCCAAACAGGACTCCAGTCAGCCATCAGGTGAAAAGGAGGAACCCAGACCCAGACCAGTGGTCATTCCATATGTTGCGGGAGTATCAGAGAAACTGAGACATTTATTTTCTAAACAAAACGTCCCAGTGGCTTTTAAACCCCAAAATACATTACAGCAAAGACTAGTTCATCCTAAAGATCCAGTCCCCTGGCACAAACAGAGTAATATTGTATATGCTGTTCGGTGTCAGGAGGGCTGTGATCAGTCTTACATTGGGGAAACTAAACAGCCACTGGCCAAAAGGATGGACCAGCACAGAAGATCAAAATCATCAGTCCAGGACTCTGCGGTCTACACTCATCTCCAGGCCAGCGGTCACTCTTTCAGGGATGAAGATGTTCACATCCTTGATAGAGAGGAACGAGGGTTTGAGAGAGGAGTAAAGGAGGCCATCTTTGTGAAAAGAAATCGTCCATCATTAAACAGGGGTGGAGGCCTCCGTGTTCAACTGTCCCCCTCTTACAATGCTGTTATTGCTAGTATCACTCAGCCTCCTGTGAATAGTAAACAGCCATCAGAGTGCTAATGATCCATTGTTAGGCTGATGGTCCTCCTTGATAATGTGAACAGCTGTTTTTGGCTGTCAGCAGCAAACTGGTTGATCCACTACAAGAAGGTGCTATTTATAAGACTGAGCTGAATACAGAACCTCAGACTGAAGAAGTCTTTCGGATGAAAGACGAAACGTTTCTACAATTTTTTTTGTTTTGTTTTGTTTTGTTGAATATCCAGAGGACCAGATTTAACTTTTTTAGATTTTTCTACCTGGATTATTGAGCATGCATCAGATTATTATTAGGATTGTTATATTGTTGTGTTTAGTTGAAGCAGATGGTCACTTGTCCTGAGCCTGGTTCTGCTGGAGGTCTTTTCCTCAAGATCCAGTCCCCCGGCTGTCCAGCTTTCCACTGTCTCCTTCATGCATGCTCACTATGAGAGTTATGTAATGGAGTTAGAATCAAAGCAGTCTGCTCCTTGTGGTAATATTGCCCCTAGTGGTGTGTCTCTGTCCTGTTTCCTCTCGTGTGATTTCCCTTTTCCCACACCTGTGAGCCTGACAGGTGTTTTGTGTTTAGTCATCATCAGTGTTTGTATATAAGTCTGTGTCTTTGTGTTATTTCTTGTCTGGGCATCGTCATGTATTCCTCTGGTAATCCTCCTGAGTCCCTGTTGTTTCCTGAGTGCCTCCTTGTGATTTTCTATGTGTCTCAGTAATGTAAGTTTTGCTGCCTCGACAGCCGTTTTGTTTTTGTGTTATTAAAAGTGCTTTCTTATTTAACCACCAAGTCTCCCGAGTCCTGCCTGCATCCTTGGGTTCTGCCTCTAAAAACCTACAATTATGACACTCCTCAGATAGTGTTAACTTATGTTTTAGTTCAGTACCCTGAGATGACTTCTGTTGTGACTTGGCGCTATATAAATAAACTGAATTGGCTTGATATTTGCATGTTTTTAGTTCTCCAGCGTTTTCTTCTGTGCCATCAGTCATTCATGTCCTCAATCAGTTTCCTGCTCCTCAGTCTTGCAGCAATATGAAGGATGTGAGATGGAGGAATAAGGGTGACACTTTCACCACTCCACTTCACTACATTTATTTTATTAACTCTCGTTAGAGTGGGGCACCAGCTGGTCAGTTTACTGACCAACAGCAACTTAATTAATACATTCACCCTTTAATAATCAGAATCAGTCAATGAAGTAGAATCCGTTAATTACAGGGAGTTCTATACCATAACAAATGAATATTCATCCGAATGAAGAGACCAAAGTTGTCTTTGAAGTTTTATTACAAAAATAATCAAATTAAAAATCAGCAACAATAATATGCAAATAATAATAATGAATCAGTCAAGGCTTAATTCTCTTATCTAAGGCTAAATTGACTCTTTGAGCAGGAATTATTTCAGTTTTATACGCGCATGAATTTAGACAAAGTTTGACTATTTTAATAGTTTACTTTGGATTTCGGTTGAAAGAAGTTATTTAATCTGATCAGATAAAGTCATTTATCGTCACTGCAAGCCAGGAAATGATTTACCAAGTTGCAGCAGCTTAAAATAACATAACCAGACCATGGCATCATGTCACCAGGTTTCTGCTCCTTACCAGGTCAGTGTGGAAGGCATCATTAATTTTTCTGGGGTTCTCTGGTGGATCAGACCAGAGAGACCATGAGGATGATTCGCCGGGAAATGCCCAAGGTATCTGACCATCACTGACAGCTTCAGAGGTCTGTGAGGGCAACAGCTGATGAGAAGGTGCACCGTCCATCGCAACCTTCAGCCGAGAACGTGAGTCTTGCAGTGAGAAATGGCTTAATCTTCTGCAGTTAGTTAAACCTCTAACAATTGTAATTTGAGCAACAAAGTTATCTGCTCAGGAGTTGAACGAGTGGACCTTGGCACTATGACCAGGATCGGGTCCAAAGACAAACTTATTATATATGAATGTTTTTGTTCAGTACCCTGAGATGACTTCTGTTGTGACTTGGCACTATATAAATAAACTGAATTGAACTGAATTGAATTGATATTTGCATGTTTTTAGTTCTCCAGCATTTTCCTCTGTGCCATCAGTCATTCATGTCCTCAATCAGTTTCCTCCTCCTCAGTCCTGCCCTTCATACGTACAACTGCGCCCTAGTTCATTCAGCTCAGGTGTCTCCACCTTTCCAATATACTTCAGTCAAACTGGCTTTAACAAAAATAATTAGGGTGTGAGAGTGCTGCATTGTACATATCTTTGATAAATTAATGTGAAGAAATTCTATTTACTATACGTTTTTTCATGACAACTGCATAAAAACTGCAAAACAATGTTTTATTTCAAGAACTGTAGTCATATTTACGTATGTTACTGGCTGCAGTTATTACATTTATATTTTAATACTATGCCATTAATGTAATAGCTGATAAGGTGGCACAGTTGGTAGAACAGCTGCCTCTCAGCGAGAAGGTCGTCGATTCAAATCCTGGCCAGCAGCCTTTCTGGGTGGAGTTTGCATGTTCTCTGCAGTGTGTGGGTTTTCTCCAGATACTCCAGTTTCCTCCCACTGATCAAAAACATGCATGTTAAGCTGATTGGTAACTCTACATTGTCCCTAGGTGAGAGAGAAAGTGAATGGTTGTTTGACTCATTTGTCTCTGTGTGTTCCTGTGATGGACTGGAGACATGCCCAGGGTGTCCCCCACCTCTCACACAGTGACTGCTGGATATGGACACCAGTGACCTCCATGACCCAAAAAGGAAGAAGTGAGTAGATAATGGATGGATAGAAGGATCAAAAAATGTATTACATTATTGACTTTAATATATTTAAATTGACCAGAATAATGACATTATTGGCACGCATTACATTATGGGCTGTTATTACATTATGGGTTGCTTCAAGGATACAAGGATTTTTATTGTCATTCACATCGCATGTGATACATGAGGTGGAACGAATCTATGTATACAGGGTCCCAGTTACATTCAACAACAATACAGATTGTAAAGAAAAATGGTAAGATCCAAGTCATAAACTAAGAATATACTACATTCACTAAACTAAGAATATAAGCACTAATGGAACAAAAACAATGCACCAAAACAGCAGCACGAACATGAGGCTGTAGGAGCATATTAGATTTAATGAACACAGCAACATGAAATAAATCAGCAGCATGAGACCAGAATCATGGATAGTCAGCAGTACATATCAACAACCAAGTGGCATTACAGTGATTTTCAGGTTTTTTTTCACAGTGATTTTCACAGTGTTTTTTTCCTGGTTAGAAATTCATGAGTCTAACAGCCTCAAGGTAGAAGCTCAGGGCCCAAAGTTTCTGCCAGTGCTGTTCTGTGGGTCAGAAACTGCAATGACCCACTAGTTTAGGAAACACGGGTAAATGTCACTGGCTGGATGGTAGCTGATCAGAAATTTCTCTGATGAATTTGTAACTAGCTGCTAATTCTAGAATCTTTAAACTAAAAAGTTTTGCTTTTATCATGTCTACCATGTAATCCAAGTATGGCAGGCAGAGGCAGAAATCATTTGTCTTATGCATGCAACTTTATTCATGTATGCATCAGTAATTGACAGTCTGCCTAATTTTTTCTACCTTGGAGTCTGTTATGGACTTGTCCAGAAGAATTATGTTTTCAGGAATGTCTCCCTGTGTATCTGTTCATACATACAACACATTCATCTTTACCAAAGCTGTGGAACATCTTCAAATTTTTCTATGCCTTTTGCTTTGAGTCAACAAGCTAAACAGACTTTTCAATGAAGTTAATATTTCATTTGCTAAATCATGAGAAGTTGATACATGTGATCTGTAAGATGATGATAAAGCGAGGCCATTTTAACTCTATAGACCTGCATTTAAAGCGAAAGTTGTTCTCCAAACAGCAAAGCGGTGATATGAACTCATTTTCAAGTATTTATTGAAAGAAAATATTTGTTTTGTTTTGTTTGTGTCAGTTTTTTTGTTTGTTTTTTGTTCTTTTTTGGCTTCATGTATTATACCTGGATGAGGGAGGCTGCAGCAGGAATTTGTCTATTAAAGTGTTTCTGTCTCTGCTTCTGCTGGACTTTCAAGGCAAAACCCGAGCCCAGGATGCCCTACACAGACACAATTAAAATTTACTTTTTTAATATTCAGCCTGAGAGAAAAAACGAGGACAGAAATTTTAGAATAGATACAGAACAATGCAAGCATATACTCAAAATGCATAAATATAGTCTAACTGTTTGTCAAATAAAACATTTCCCAGCCTAAAAGAAAGGCCATAGAAGTTTAAATAATGTTAACAAAACAAGGAAGTCCTATTGAATAAATATATTTTATTACAATTCAAATGATGTAGTACATTTGTACTTACAGCAGGTAGGGCGAAGAAAGAAATGGCAAAGACACTGAAGCAGGAGGCAATGGCTTTTCCAATCCACGTTTGAGGAATCTTGTCTCCATACCCGATTGTGGTGACCGTCACCTGAGGAACGATTATATA